ACAACACTATTGTTTTAAATAATATTTTTTAAAAGTTTCTCTCAAAATTTAGTAATTTGATTTGTTTAATTTGGATTTTCTTGGATTTTTTAATTTTTTTTGTTGGATTAATCATTATAACATTTTGTTAAAAATGTAAAAGTAATTATCACTTGTTCACTGCATTATATCAATATTCATCGCACATCGAATGTTGCATTGTTTCAATATCTATGAAGAAATTATCCAATAAACAACAAGTAAAAATTATGTAACTATTTGGTGTTTGCTAGGTATGTTATAATATAATGTGAACACTATAAGGTACACACTATAAGGTGAACACTACATTATATATGCATTAATCGTAAGAATATCGTTGGAGTCATTGGGAATCGCCGCGTGCCGCTCGATCGTCAGGTTAAGCAACACTTTAACGGAGTCAGGACATGGATTGGTGGTGACCGGTGGTATACCGCTTGGGATCGAAATTATCGCAGGAGGATTCACGAAAGTTTGGAATGTGTTTGACAACCTTCGATATCTAATAGTTTGAGACATGAGAAAATTAGGAATATAAGTATATTTTTATAAACATTATGATTTTCTCATTTTTTATAATAATTCGCGTAATAATTCTCAGTATTTGATTACTATCAATATGTAACAGTGATTTTATTATCAGTATTCACCAGAAATTAAGTACTGGCCATAAAATTACTGAATTACTGGTAATATTTAATCACTAATAATTTTTCAGTATTTCTTAGTATGATATTTCTATAAGGGTTATCGTATAAAAAAACCTATTGTTCTCGATTGTATACGAACGATATTTAACTTGTACATATAATTACGATAGAAGACGTGCATCATAATCTATCGTCAAGTGGTTATGCCAAGAATGGGTGTTTTTCTATCGTCTTCTTATAAAAAGCGTAACACGCTTTGGCTAAGTATATTCGTCAACAAAATTATCGTATAGGTAAATTCATGTCGAAATTTAACATAATTTTAAATACCGCGAAATATTATCATATTTGAAATCTTTTTTTCTTTTCTTTTAAAGAATGAAATCTTTAGTTTAAGAAACATTTGTCGTATTTTGAATTTATTCTCTTCCCTTTAGTCTTTTCAAAAGTAAAGACGTGTTACGTCTCTAAAAAAATGGCACAATTTGCCGTGTATCCTACGCGGTAGAATAAACTTTTCGTAACTTTTTTCGTAAATTTCACTATCGTAAAGTATAGATTCTCCTGAAATGTAAAAGAAAACTGATTTGTTTTCGATTTTTTCGCGGAGTTGCGACATATCAACGGTACCAATGCGTTTTTTTAAATCGCTTAATTTGACTCAGTCTACTGAGTGGAATAAATTCTTTTCACAAATCTTACGATAAACATCGTAAAATATCGATGTTTCCTTACAAATAAAAAATAAAAAGGAGAAGTGCACGACTTTCTTCCGCGATGTTGTATGACATATGAAAGTTATCTATACATTTTTATTCTGTTACCGTCAGAAGAGAATAAATTCAAAATCTGACTAATGCTCCTTAAAAAAAAATACAGATTCCACTTAAAAAAAAAAAAAATTAAATACCACAATGTTTCGCAGTATCATGTCCATTTAAAATTGTGCTAAATTTTGACATGAATTTACCTATACGATAATTTTGTTGACGAATGTAGTCAAAGCGTGTTACGCTTTTTGTAAGAAGACGATAAAAAAACACCCATTCTTGGCGTAACCACTCGACGATAGATTATGATGCATGTCTTCTATCGTATACGTACGTACGTATAATTATACGTACAAGTCAAATATCATTCGTATACAATCGAGAAAGATAGGTTTTCTTTATACGATAAAGAACTTTGAGTTTCTTCCATCGTTAAGACAGTACAAATTATGACAGATATCTAGTGATTTTTTCATGATAAATTCCAACAAAATGATAGGACAAATCTTTAAGAATTCTATCACAGTAACGATTTAATATTCCCCTAAGAGAGCACGATACCCTTATAGAAATATCATACTAAGAATCATTGATAATTACTTATTTTCAGTATTAAAAATACTGGATAATAAGTAATTATCAATGATTCTTAGTGTGATATTTCTATAAGGGTAGAAAATGATTTCATTTCCTGCGAATTCGATACATGCAAAGGGTACGGTAGAGAAACAATTACGATAGAGAACAATTAGATTCTCTGCAAATCCTTTCAATTTCTATCGCTTTCTTTCTTTCTATTTTTTTTTTTTTTTATCACAGAAACACATTACAGTTTTAACGTGACCTTAAACTGTCTTATAAAATAATCTTCTAAATGCGCGCTGTCATTTTTCTACCACGACGTCGAAAAAAACGAAAGATAATTACCTTTGAGCACACGATTTTGTATTACACACCGCTCGCTGTGTCACATACATACATGTATGCAGCCGAAGCGGCGACACGCTTTGATTCGGCGTCGATTTGGCACACGGATATGTCATGCACATGGTCAGTATATCGCGCCTCGCTATGTCTCGTAGCTATGGGCGGAGGGATGCGGCGAGATGCGATTCGCGAGTGTCACGGTCGCACGTCGGCCGAAGGTATCTTTCTTTCCTCTGCCGCTTTGTGTACGCTGATTTGTTAAGACAAAATAATTAATTTCTCAAAAACTATTGCGAATATCGCAAAACGCCACAGGACTTTCTTGCTCACCTCAATCCGTTCTACGTTCTCACCAAGAATCATCATGGAGGTTTGGAACACACTTTATATGTATGTATGTAACTTAATTCTTATATAATTTTTACTCAAATATATAAATGATTTTTTGACGATTAACACCGTTTTACGTAACATATGTTGTATGTCTCGTGTGTATATATATGTTATGTGAAACGGTGTTAATCGTCAAGAAATCATTTATATATTTGGGTAAAAATTACATTATATATATGTGTGTGTGTGTGTGCGCGTGCGCACATATATTACACACACACACACACACACACACACACACACACACAAACAAGGTGTCTCACACTTTCCTCCGGGTATTTTGTGGGGACGTAGAATAGGTTGATATGAACATAAAAGTCCTATACCGTTTTGCGATATTCGCAATAATAGTCGAGATATTAACTAAAAAAAATTAAGGAAAAACACACGCTAAATGGTCGAGGATGACCGCTCGAGTCACAGCGCGGCCCAGTAATAAAGCGTGGATGTCGCGTGCGGTGATTGGAAGACAATGCACCACTGCCTATTCTTATCTCGGCGCGCTGCGGCAAGACGTAGGAGCGCAATGGTATAAGTATAGGCAGTGGTGCATTGTCTTCCAATCATCGCGCGCGACACCCGCGCGCTATATTACTGGACCCCGCTGTGACTCGAGCGGTCCGTCCTCTACTATTCAACGTGCGTTTTTCTTTAATCTTTTTTAATTAATATCTCGACTATTATTGCGAATTTCGCAAAACGGTATAGGACTTTTATATTCATCTCAACCTGTTCTACGTCCCCACCAAATGCCCAGAGAAGAGTGTGAGACACCCTGCATATACAGGGTGTCTGAGACCACCCGTACACCCCTTTTATCTCGGAAA